ACAGGAACTTGGAATCATACGACTTGTATTGTGTGATGAATGAGAATTTAGGAAATTAGGACTAATTCCTTATTCACATATAGATGTGAGTCAAATGAAGGACTGGAAAATCTAGTACACATTGTTGTGCACTGGTCAGGTCCACCACAGAGAACGATAAGAATATTCGTCATGATTTGCTAAAAGTTTAGTAAACATGGTTATTCTTACAAGATTAAGTGTAATTCTGGATCATTGGAAAAGTTTCGATGTATAGCAGAACGAATAAGAAGAATCAATTAGGCAGAAAGATAAAAGTTTCTCCAATCTGAAAGGAAGGGAGAGTACTTTTGTATCGTGTTTTATGATCGTCTTAGTGATTATAAAGTCATATCACAATTGATCCTCTAAGGACACCTTGGTGCATTTGTGTGACCAAGAAGAGGAATCGGGAATTGTCGAAATGGTTAAATCAAAAGGTGAATCATACTTCGTTCCAAAATCAAGTCTTAGAGTCGTACTCCAAGATTGTGCATTGAGTGACACATCTTTAGAAGGTTTATAACACTCATCAAATGTGGAGTAGAAATGTTTCTTACTCTTGGACATTTGAAATTGGTAAGTTGTGATGTCTTCGATAAGACAAAGACCAACTAAGACCAATTGTGTGTAGTGTTTGTCTTGATAAGAACCCGCACTAACTCTTGAATATTTGCTTGTCAAAGAATGTTTCTTGACAAGAGAATCTTATATGTCAAGAGGTCAGTGGGAGTCTTGAAGATCTTGAAAAGGTTTCAAGAACTAATCAAGAGTAAACATGTTGTTGATCACTACCACACAACTTGAGGTTGTAACCTATTGTGTTGACATATTCTTGTTTCTGTGCCCATTCCAGTTAAAGTTGACGTTGCATGTGAGTCCTATGAGTTCTCATCTGACTGCATAAGGCAAAGCACCTTGATCAATGAAAGTCCATTGACAAGTATAGGTGAGCTGCTCAACAACTTGGAAGACATGGTAGGCCCTTATGCTGCCAAGTGGCAAGAAATTAAGATTGAACAAGTTCAGTTCATATGAGTTTGGATTTGTCACAAACCTTGTCTTGCAATTATGGTTATGACAAATTCACATGGATGGGAACACGTACACTATAAAATCTAAGTGGTAAGGTTTCTCTCCACTTCATGAAAATGATTGTGAGAAAACGCTTTCACTAAGTAGATTTTAATGAGATAGCGATTGTGTAAATTGCATTCTCAAATTCGATTATGATTACGACATCCCTCTTCATAGTTCGAATTGTGAGATTTGGCAATTAGTTTGAACATTCGGGACTTACTGCTGTAAGTTCTGAATTAGTTTAGACACACATATGGGCTTTCTAATGAAAGGTGTATGGGCTTATCAAAGCATCTCGTATCAGAAATCTAAACTTTGGAAAGAAAGTCAATATTATTGATTTCTAGAAGTCCAGATGATTTCTGAGTACATATCAAAGCTAGTGGGAGCATAAGTGTTATGCTGGAAAGGAAATAATTGTCATGTTAGTGGGAGCATGATTATTATGTTAAGTATTGCGAGTTAGCAATATTAATTATAGAAAACAAAAGTTTCAATTCGCAAAGTTGCAGAGGTTGAAAAGTTGTTTTGCTATAATTAAGGGATAGAATATTATACTTCATTTCAAATTTAAAAGCTTAGATCAAGAAATTTTAATCAAATTTAGTCAAAGGACATATATAAATGTTATGTTGAAAAGATTCAACATAAGGGAATTCTATATATGGCAATATTATAGCAAGAGACTAGTAAAGTATCATGTCTTTATGTAAGACATTATGAATCGTATCTCATCCGCTTAGGGTATAGGATCGATTGCATATGCTGTATTATTCGACCATTCTGATTTTCCAAATGCCTGGGGTACTAAGAAAAAAAAGGACCAGAACTGGATATGACTAAAGTAGTTAAACAACTGTCAAGGACAATCTAAGGTTCGCCAAGGATTTGTCACTTGTGGGCAGTTGGAAGTATAGTAATGGATGGACCATGTTGACATTATTATGAATAGATAGGATTTTATTTAGAATGAGTTGTCAGATGGAAAATATGGAAATGTTTCCATGATGGGAGTTCGATATTAAGAATTTATGTGTAGGTTAGAAACTTTTTTACAAGAAGAATGTTCAAAGGAATGTACTTTGAATATGAGACTTCATATCTATGGAGTTGTCTTGTAACAATCTCCAATAGAGCACTTTGAAATTTCATTGGCAAAGTCTTTGTGACTTTGATGCTGTGATATATTACAAAGTCTTTGTAACTTGAGAAGTAGTAGCATGTCGTTTTTGTTGGATTAGGTGTCTAAGCTCATAACTATTTTTGGTATGTACTTGATTTGATTATGAGCATGGTCCTTTTGGGTTGCCTTCACTCATGCAACTTGATAGGATGACAAGTGGAGAGATAGTAGAATCTATTATATGAATAATAAATTAGTACTCAAAATTGTTTTATTAATATATTACAAGATTAATATATTATTTGGAAATCATATTATTTAATTAGTATTTATCAGAAATTAATTTGGAATTAATTTGTTGATCAAAAGAGACTGATTAAATAAAGGGGACTGATATTGCAATTATATGATAGTTGCTAGTTGGGCTATGGATTCCTAATAGAAGGGATTGGACGAAATCTATGGAAGCCCATAAAGATTTCGTCCAAGGGGGCCTTCTAGAAGGGCTTCATGGATTGCTTAAGGCCTTAGCAAGGAAATTAGGGTTTCCACCTTAAAACCCTAATAGCCTCAACTATAAATAAACCCCTTAAAATGTGAAAATTCGGCCCCATGTTTTCTTTGAGTTGCCCTAGCCGATTTCACCTCTCTCCTAAGTCATCTTCTTGCATTGGATGTCTGTGACTCCATTAGAGGTGCAACACTTGGGGTACTAGGCTTTCAGAAGTCAAGATCAAGAAGGATTAAGCTTGTTATTACTACATAACAAGAGAGGTAAATATTCTAAGCCTAATCATATGTCAATTTCGAAATATGTATGCTAGTCATAGGGTTATTGCTTTGGTATTCATAGTTGTATGTTCAAATTAGAAAAACCTAGATCCAAAGCAATTAAGGTTGCATGTACACCATAGGAATGATCTTATGCTCAAAACCCAGCAGTTTTAACTTTTAAGACTTTTTGCAATAAGGATTCGGAGATCATGCCATAGATCTAGGGTTTGACTCTGGAATCAATATAAGTTCATTCTTGTTCATTGGTAACAGTCAGCGCTTTATCATGTGGTTCATCTAAATGATCGACTGCACGATGGCCTATGCAATAGGTATAGAAGATTTCTCGTCAAGAGTCATAATTAAGACAATCGCGATCGAGGAGCAATAGAACAAAGGAGTGAAAATTGGTTATGCCATATGATTTCTCAAATGAGAGAGTGGAAGATGAAGTCGAGCTAGTCATTATTTTTGAGGAAAAGATGATGGTCAACGACCAAGGAAAGAATTAGGGTTACAAGATTAGGAAAGATATAAGAAGGAAGAGATTTTAGCAAAGCTGCTCTGATACCATGCTAAAGAATATTTTTCCATAAAAACATTCTCATTACATATATATATATATATATATATATATATATATATATATATATATATATACATACACACACACATACACACACACATACACACACAATACAATAAAAAGGTTGGGCTATGGACAATGTGGGTCGGTCGCTATACAACACAAACACAAATACGCAAATGTGTATAACATGTTAACATTAAATGGTATTACTAAATTACCTTCATGAGGGGTGTTTCAAAGGGAATTGTTGACCATGCTTTGTTTTGTTAGCCATGAATATTGGAGAGATGTAGATGAGTTATAAAAGTACATCTAGCTAATGCTTCAACTAAGGAGGTAGTACATGTTCATAGTCATCTAAAAAGCAATTAATTGTCACGCTCTCAAATCTCAACTAGTGAGTTGTGTTTGTAGCAGCAGCAACATGCACATGCCACGCAATTTGATGGTGTCGAGTATTATGTTAGATTCATGCACACAAAAAAGAAAGTTATGAAGATTTTGTGATAATGAATCTACAATTAAATTGGCAAAGAATCTTGTTACACTTAGAAGAAGAAAACATATAGAAGCATTTTATCATTTCCTGTAAGATGAAACTGCCAAATGGGAGATATAGAAGTGGGATTTTGCATGTTTGTGAGCACTGATGATCAAGTTGCAAACATTATCACAAAACTACTAAAGTATGAAGCATTTATAAAATTGAAGGAGGATATAGGAATGATCAGTCTACCAATTTTGATTTAGATATATGTTTAAGTAATGAGTTCAACCATCTCTAAAATGCTCATTTGGTAAGGCGTGTGAAAGATGTGACTCGTTAACCCATTGACCACCCACGTAACATGTCCACTTGGTAAGGCATGTGGAAGATGTGGTTCATTAACCTATTGACCACCCGCATTCGAATCCTAGGAGTTCCATTCTAGGTGCCCAGGAGAAGGGTTTGCAACGCAACTCCATAGGGGTTGTTTAGCATCATCGTCGAAAGCGAGCCACCTATCCCATACCCTTGAAATCGGAGAAACCGCTATGGTCAGTGGGCAAACCGTTTTTCAAGTACTCATGGGTAATTTGCCTATTACCAGTTATCTAACAAATATGGGTAATTTGTCTATTACTAGCTTTATAAGGGTTGCTTATCATCATCATCAAAGGTTTCGGTCTTTGTATTCAAAATTGCAAGTGAGATTCATCGGTAATGTTTCCCTGCTAAACCTCTTGTCTTCTTAAGTTTAAGGAGCAAGCCATCTCATCTTTATATATCACATGTTATAATATTGAATAGAATTCAAAGGACAAAACACAACCCTATATATAACTCATCTTTTTGTGTCATGTTTATAGAAGAATTAGGTTTAATACAATTCCTAATCTTAAATATGTTAGCCGACGGCAACTTGCTTTAAAAGTAAGATAACCCATGATATATTACTCATACAAATACAATACAATACAAAGCATCAAGACCAACATTCAATTGTACTACTAATAAAATATTGAGAAAACTATAAAAATGGATTTACAATTTTCTTTGTCTAAGATCTAAAAAAGTTGCGGCTTTCATAGATAGTCCCTCCAACAACGCTTCATTGTGATTTTGGTCTCTGTTTTAACACCGTTTAAATAAGATTATTAAATTACCATTTTACATTTCTTTTAGATTTTCTATTGATTTTTATTTATTTATAATTATGGTTAGAGTTAAAGGTCGATCCCACTCTCCAATTTGTTGATCCACCACCTTACCCCATCTCACACTCTGTATCCTCTCCTCCGGCAACTGCCTTCCTCCTACTACACTTCATTTTCTCCGGTCAGATACTCAGATTCCAGCCAATTTATGTGCATTGTATTCCAATAAGAAAATCGCACCATTTGCAAAAGTAGAAAAACCCATTTCAATTATCTATCCCTAAATCCATGGACTGATCATCTTCTGCTCCAAACCCTCTCACACACATACACACTTGAGTTTTGCATCTGTTAAGAAATTTTTTTTTAATTTCCAATGGTTTTACACTTCCGTTTGGACATTCGTGACCTTACACATATGTAGTGTTGAAAAACCCAGTCCCACAACCAACATCGCCACCATTGATCCTCAACAACATACACAAATGCAATTTTTGTGCTCGTCCTTGTCTCAATCCAATGCAATTTTTGTCCAATTAGGGTGTTATGGTACATAAAATAAAAGGTAACTAATGACGCTCTTAATTTATTGTTACTTGGGGTCTGTCAATGAACCTAAAATCCTACATGTATTAGACCACCAACAACTGTAAGCCATGTATATATAATACACAACAACAAGTCATATGTAGCTTGATAACTTTTAGAACGAAAGGAACAACACAAAATTCATCGTTAGATATTTGGCACCATGAAATCCTATCACTTACAGAGTTTCAGCTTTTTGAAGAACGAGGAAACAACTGATTTGGGATAGGGTTTACAGGCAAGACATGTAGGAGTGTTCTCCGGTTGTTCAATCCATAGCTTATGAGCAATGTGATTGCTTTTAAGCTTCTCAGATAAGTTCTTTAACTGTACTTCTCCTTTCACCTCAAGCGTTACCTACACCATTCGAATGCATATATTTGTTGGTAATCCCATTATCATAACTTTACAATTAACAATTAATCCAATTTTACTTAAGGCCCTTCATCTTTTTATGGACCCCAAGACTGACATTCAGAAGGTTTGACCGACAATCAGCTAAGAATTAACAGAGACAACAAGACAGAAGTTTTCAGCTTCATCTTGAAATTCAACCCTCTCGAAACATGATGACTAAACTCTATCAACTTTGAATCTACAAAGTAAAGATGGTGTTCAAAGATCTCAAATCTAACGCAACTAGTTTGTTTGCAAACGTATTTGGTAATGTTCATCATCATAACTCTTAGTCTTAGGATGAGGATGGAATTGACATAAGTACATTAACATGCTAGTGTACTTAATTAAACCTGCTACATAAAATTATTTGATTTAAAATAGAATAATCGAATACAGACGGGAACCAAGTAAAAACTGGTATTAAGGCTTCCTCGCAATGAAATTTCCCCAAAAATTAAGATCGAGATTCAACAAATATATACGGTGCATACTTCAATTAATTTAGCAGCACGCATTCACAACCCTAACATTGAAAATTCATGAAATTAAACAATCGATGAAACAGAGAACTTACCTTATGCATTGAATCGAGATTGGTGGGACTGCAGTACTCGATGGTGTGAGGATCATCTTTGTGTGACCAGATGGCTGCGACGGAGGCATGGCAGCCCTGTGTTACAACGCTCCCTAGCGGCCACGAGTCTATCAGATCTCGTCGGAGCACTACGTACTGCACTAGCACGTCGGAAGTTGTTTCCGAGTTTTCGGTGGCCAAAACCTCTGTCGCGTCGGTAGAGGAGGCCATGGGAGTCGAGTGGTGGCGAATATGCAGATGGAGTGAAGAGGGGAGTGCCTTCCTGTACGACGGCGTAGGGTGTTTTTTAAAGGAGGTAAGATGAGAAATCAAACAACGTGGTGACTGTAGAGTGGTCATATTTGCCTTCTTGTAGTCAGGTTGTGCCTCCGATCCGTTTATGGCCCGTTGAAGAATACCAAGAATCGAATGGAAAGAAATTCATGACTACAATTTACACACGTTTACGAGAAGAATTCAAATAATCCTGTAAATGTAAATAAATAAGACTATAAAACCCGTCAAATCTACTGTCTATTTTATTTCTACTGTTTGGATATAATAATAATATGATGCAAAATATATCATTTCCCCTTCTCTACGACTACTCTCGTATGAAACCCAAACCCAATTAAAGAAGGGTTAACGAATTAGGAAGGTAACAAATTTTGGTATTTGTTCATATTTAGGTAATTATGTTTTTTCGTTAACATTTGACAATTAAAATTGTTTGACCTGTTCAAAATAGGGTAATATGACTGATAATTATGGTAATATTACCCTATTATGAACAAGTCACACAAGTTTATTGGTCAAATGTTTACGAAAAAAACATGATTACCTAAATATGGATAAAAACCAAAGTTTCTTACCCATTTTGGTAATATTGGACAAGAACCGTCTTAAGGCTCCGACAGTCAATGAACAATTAGGTTAGGCTTGGTCTAACCCAGTTCAATCCCGACTAGTCATGGGCTAAGTTGTGTTGCTAGGTCTTTAAACACATACAGCGTAGTGTCACAACTGACATTTTAGCCAGGAAATTCTATTCTTGTGTAACCATTCATCAATTGTAAAACATATACTTTAAGTAAATCTCACTCAATGCTCAGTTAGATTCATCAATTGTATTCATCAAAGAGTCTGAAGCCCTAAGATCCATGGTTTAAGTCCATATTGGACTAGGAGTTCCTTATTGGGCCTAATGGGCCAATAAGCACCCAATTCAACCTTATTGGACTTAGAAGCCCTAATTGGATCCTATTTGGACCCAATTTGGGCCATTTGGGTCTAGAATAATTCATTCTAACCCTAATGGCCTTATTGGGCCATAATTTAATCCATTTAACCTTAGTGAGCCATAAGCCCATTCTTTTATTCTATGTGGGTCGTGAATGGCTCCAAGAGCCCAATGGGCCGAAAAACCTTATGTTTAGGGTCCAAGTATCCTAGCTAAAGTTAATAGGCCCAATCTACTCATTCCTCCTAGCCCAAAATCTCGGCCCATGTATAAAACAAAAAAAAAAGAGAAGAATTAGGGGGGTTGACTTTGGAGTGCCACCTCCATAATATCCAACATATATCAAGGTGAAGACCTCCCATGCATCCATGCTTGTCACCTCATCTCTCTCTCTCCCCTCTCTTCTTCTCTCGGCCGAAGACAACAAACACACACACACACACATTACACAAATTCTCTCCATTACTCTCAAGAATCATCCATCTTCTTCCTCCAAAATTCACAAGATTTTGCTTAGGTTTCAAGAGGATTTTCACAAAATAATCATCATTCTTGGTAAGACTTTATACATGCAGGTTTTATAACTCCATCTTCATGATAGATCACACTTTTAAACAAAGTTTTGGTGATCATACTCCTAGAAATCTTCTTAACTTCGAGATCTACTCAAGGGAGTTGCTAGGGCCAAAAAATCACTTCATCTTTCCACTTCTTCTTCCAAAAACCGAAACATCAAGCAAAGGTGAGTTCATACCCCCTTGTTTTCGGTTTTCATATGATTTTTGGGGGAGAATGCAAGTAAAAAGTGTAGATCTATGTGTTATATGCATGTTTTGTGTGAACTCTTAGTTTATTTGGTAAAAATGTGTTAGATCTTAGTGAATCTCGAAATTTTAAGTATTATGTAGCAACGATCTAAGAACTACAACACTATATACATCATATTATCAAGCCAAAAGTGAACACATGTTTAAGATGCAAAAGAATTCAACAAAAACCTTGTTAAAGGTCAAATTGTCAAGAAAACAAAAGATAAGGGTAAAAAGTGAAAATTCATTTTTTAAAAGGGCCAAACAGGTCCTACATTTATAAAAATGTATTTTTATGCTAAACATACTTTTAAAAGGGCCAAAAATGCAAATTTAAGCTTATTGGGCCAAAACTTTTGGGCCTCACGGCCTTGGGCCCAATTTGCGAAAAAAAATGAAGTTTTAAGGTTTAAAAATGTTATTTGGCCAAAGTTTGAGTCATCAATGTAAATAAACCAAATTTAGAGGTGAAAATATCATTTATTTTCAAATTGGACCAAAAATGTAAAGTTTTCCAAAATTGGGCCGAAAACGTAAACTTTTACAAACAAGGGGCTGAAAATGTATTTTTCTGCGAAACAGGGTTCTAAATGTGAAAATATAACATTTTGGGTTAAAACCGTAAGTTTCTAGACATTTGGGACAAAATTACAAATTTTTTATAAATTATGGACTAAAGTGTCATTTTTACAAAACTTTGAGCCTTAAGTAAAAATTGGAGGATTATTGGCCAAAAATGTCATTTTTACAAAATGAAAGTTTCTTTTCATCAATCTAGCAAACCTCAAGCTAAACGAACAACAGAATAAAAACGAACGAACGAAATACATCGATAACTATTTATTGGGCCTAATATCAACATTACTTGGCCATTGGGCCCTAAGGGCCCAATTAAGTTTGTATTGAGCCCAATGTTTTCCATGACATGTTTATTGGGCTTTGTGGCCCACTTACATGTTAATTTGGGCCTAAGTTATGGATTACATGTTTATTGGGCTTTTGTGGCCCATTTACATGCCTATTGGGCCTAAATTACCCATTTACACACCCTCGTGTAGTCAGTATGTGTCACACCCCCGAACCAGACGGCGGAAACGTCTGAGGGCTCGCATGACTTAAATTGAATATCATCACAATGGTTATATATGAAACACAACATAATCTTCACCATGCATTAATACATAACGATTGACATTGTTCACATCCAGTACATTGTTTAAATATTACATATCTATAGCATCAATTGTTCGAGTGTTTTCAAAACATAACATCCTAACATACTTGATATTACCCTTCAGCTTACCTGTTACCTGAGAATACAAGTTATTTTGAAAAACGTCAACATATGAAATGTTGGTGAGTTCATAAGCAGGGTTGTGATAAAAATGATTTGTGTAGTTTATAAAACCCAGAAAATCCGATATTTTCTGAAAAGACAATTGTTTACCAAAGGGTGAAGATCCATAAGTTGGTGCATGAATGATTTCAAAAATGTGTATAAATGGGAAGTTTTGCATTATAATTATTGAAGTACAAGCGAGTGGTGTTGATTTCCTCGAAAAACCCGATGTTTTCCGATAACATAATATAATTGTCTCAAATTGCTATACCGCCACACAAGTGATTTTGATTACTTTTCCTTGATTACTCGGATAGTATTGGATTTATTTAATTTCGTGCGTCGTTATAACCATGCATAATAATGACTAGTTCGTCTGTCTTGGCATCCTAATGAACGCCGAAATTGATCTTAAGATTTTGTCACCCTAGACTGGCCGAGTCTAACTGTAGCGAACAGCTGAGGTATGGGGGAGTCACCCCCGTATAGATCTATACACAAACTCTCGCTCTCCTTCCAGGAGACTTTGATTATAACTATAGACTACGAACGACCCTTAGAGGTGTCGCCCGTTATTACTCACTTAATCTAAACGGAGTTGATTACTATTGATTAACGACCTGTATTTGTTTACTTGAATTGAAGGTAAGCCTAACAAACGAGGAGAAGAGGATGACAAAGTCCTGCTACTTACGTGTATTGTTTAAGGCTGTTGGGGTATACGAATGACACGTTGGCCCATTTCGCATTTGATTTATCTGGACCTTACTAGCAATGCTAATGGGCCACTGAGGCCCAATAGCACTTGAAAGCCATTGAGGGTCCCTTAAGCTTATAATTTGGGTCACCGGAGGCCCAATAAACATTTATTTTTATCGTTGGGCTCAAAAGTTATGTTAATGGGTCACGTAGGCCCAATAAGCATGATTTGAGACTTTCAAGCCCAAAGATTTGAATACTTACTTGTTTTAGGTATTGTATAATTGTTGGAAAGTTTGATTGAACGGTTGTTAATTTCGTATCGGCACGAGGCCGGTCGGTTGTTTATAACGTTATTTGAAAATATATGTATATTCTTCATTCTATTTTCATAAGTTGTAATTTGGTATTCTTTTGACTCAAATATCTTAAAACCAAAATAATTGACTCAAAATATTGGTTTGACCCATTCAGCCCTTCTTTAATAAAAACGACAATTTTAGTCCCTTATTTTTTAAAAAAAGACATTTTAGGCCCTTAAACCATTTTCTTGACATTTTTGACCCATCGACTTGTTTAAAGGATGGTTTTAGTTCAAAATTTTACTCTTTGGCAGTTTCAGCCCCTCCAGTAAAGAGTTTTTCAGTTAAAGTCCACACTTTTTGCAACTTTTACAATTTTGGCCCAAAATCCAAAAAGTTTATATTTCTGATCCTTGTTTGGAAAAAAATCATTTTAATCCCTGAATTTGTTTTGTTTACCCCTTTTCCCCCCTGTCTTGAGAAGTTTTACCATTTCAATCCCTTTGAAATTATATTTTTCGCAATTTTGGGCTCAATGGGCCGAAAAGCCCAAAAATTGGCCCATTAAGCTACAATTTTCATTTCTATCCCTTTAAAGAGTATGATATTCATAAAAACATTTATTTTTACTGTTTTAACTCTTTTAGTCCTTAAGAAAACCGTGAATGACAACTTTCAACTCAACTTTTAATTGTTTGACAAATTTAGCCCAAAAATGAGTTTTATGTTGCATTTTGTTTATTATGACTTAAGCTAGAAACTTTTCTTCACTTGTTCTATAAAAAGTATATTAGATCATGTTTATTTCCTCTTTTGTGCCATAGATCTTGAGATTTCTTCCCTTTTTGTTACATATTTACCACATAAACACATAAAATCACACATACATACATGAAATCATACATAACATACACATACACATAGATCTACACATTTTACTTGTATTCTCCCCCATAAAACTTATGAAAACCGAAAAGAGAGGGGTATGAACTCACCTTTTCTTGTGGATCTCGGTTTTGAAGAAGAAATGAAAGAAATTGGTGAGATTTTTCGGCCTAGCAAGCTTCTTGGAAGATCTTTGGCTTAGATGTGTTCTA